CTATGGAAGCTGACAATTGCATATTTATCAATATTAGCTTAGTGAAACCAAAACAATGAATCTCTGATCGTTTAGTTCTTTCTCTTGCTCTGGTTTACATTCATCATCCTCACGTTTGCTGTTCCCATTCTGGACACTGAGTGGAGCAGGGATTACGGCAGACATTTATAAAACCAGATTAGCAAGGATCACCTACTCACCAGCGTTCTGTCATCACCGATAAGTAAGTCTATGACTACAAATTAAAATCTTCTTTTGCAAAATTTCTTGTGTTACTTATCATTTTCTTTCAATATTCAAATACTATAGTGATAAAGCCAGTTTGCCTTGTATCTTTTATAGTTTATATTTTTATTTTACTTTTTGTTTTATAGTTGTGTTTGTATCTTTAGATTTTTTTATTACATAATTTATTTTGAACCGCACAACATTTATCTTCACATACATCAATATAACAGACAAGTACATAATTCAAAAAGGGGTGGGATGAAGCAAATGCTTATTTTATTCCAACCTCCATCACACAGGCCTATGCAGACATGTCCTAATCAGTCTAATGGACCAAATCCAACCTGCAAAACCATGTTTAGCGCCCCCTGAAAAAGTATTATTATTAACTTGCAGCAAGGTATAAATTGGCTACCATAGCTTGTTAGACATCATTTTAAAGCCAATTTCCTCAGAAGGACAACCATATAATTTACTTTATCCTAAAATGTGTGAGAAATTAGTTACATCTGATCTATATGTTTGGTCCAGTTTTGGTTCAATACAAACAGTAACTGAACTCATTGTCCAAGAAAATCGATCCGAATAGAATATCCAAACTCATGTCGAATGAAAATTGTTTGTCAATTATTGTAATAGAAGAAACCCACTTTTATACTTTCTGCGTTTGGACCACCTTTTTGAAATTCGGCTCCCACCAAAAATAGTTTGACACGCCTTTTGTAGGGGAAAGCTGTCCCCTGCATTTTCACATTTCTGGACCAGGATTACTTGAGATAATACAGGGAGAAGGATACACACATTAGGATAGAACCTGTGACCTTACAGTGAGGCATTGGTGCTAAAATAGCTGCCGCCACAACCTGATGACCTATTGTTTCCTTGCTCTTGCCTGACGGCTTCACTCTCGCCTTTGACAGTTCTGACAGATCTGGCAGCTTCAGATTACAATGTTCAATAGTTATAAATTGGAATGACATATGTAATCCGATAACACTACACTCTTAACACATAGGGGGATATTGCAGCGTCACAGTTCTGGATTATGGCATGACTCTAAACCGTCTTGACTCCCAGCTGCACTCCTGACTCATGCCTCATATTAATAGCCTACAGAACATCCACCCTGCTTCTCTGTCCTCACAATACACTGCAGTATTCATGTGTGCAGATTTGAAATACGTTTGGATTGACTATATGCTAACTGAGCTGGAGGGCAGGCCTGATTACTATAGAAGAATGTGCCTTTAACTGCTATCCTGATTGATAGTGGATTCATGTTTTAGTATTGTGTTAGTGGATTTTTTTCTGGATTCCTAGGTGTTTGTAAAGAAAAGAAAAAGACAACTATAGTCACTAGTTGTCCTTCTGGCTTTATCCCACTGCTGTTAGCTGACACTGCTGTTACTGCTGCATATTGAAACAGCAGAGAAGCAACTCTGCAATTTGAAAACTGAAAGGAAAGTTTGAACAAGACTAAATCCTCACTGAAAAGATGGTGAAGATAAGGTGGAAATGCACTGTATTCAGTTGGATGGGAAATGCCTATACAATTCAATATGACAAACATTTTATTATTATTTTTTTTAAAGAAAATATCCAAATGTGTTCTGATTATTGAAAGTCCTTCTTGCTGACCAACATTATGCGCATATATATATATATATATATATATATATATATATGTAGTATAATATTGATTAAATCATTAGGAATAATATGAAATGACAAAAAGATGTGAAACTTTGTAGATTGACCTATTCACATATTTGATTTTTTTTAAATGCCTATTTTGTGCCTATAAATTGTTGTCCGTAATGTGTAAAGCATACTCAATCTAAGCCAAGACGACGTGAATGCATAGATTCACATGTAAAAATAGGTCTTATTTCCATGCAGTGGATCGCAGCTGTTGTGAGCACATGTTCAGAGCCTTTCCACACATTATGTTACTATACCAGCCCATGTACCTGCTGTTACTGCACTGTGATATATCCTGTCCCTCTTCCTCCTGCTCCGGCTTCAGCCATCGCTCATGGTCTGACTCAGCAGAAGCACAGACACAAGGTCATCTGACTGCTGTTACTAAGGCGACCGCAGTTTGGGGGATATTCCTTTAACTTGAGGAAGAGGCAGAAGAGAGTGATGCGAGCAGTGGCAGAATGATGCAGAAAAAGAGAAAAGTATTATGTCATGAAATCATTGGTCATTTTGCTGAAAGAATTGTTCATCTGTGACAAATATGGATTATTATCATATATTATAAATCAATATTAGTGCCCCAGCTTCCCTGTTGACCTGAACGACACACTCTCTTATTATATCCACACCTCGGCCAGAAATGTAGGAGTTATTTTTGATAGCACTTTCAGGATGGACAAGACGATAAATTCAGTTATTAAAGCAAGCTTCTACCAACTCAGAGTCTTGAGCAAAGTCTTAGGCTTGTATTCCATCCACTGACTTTCAAGTTTTTCACCTTTTTTTCTTTAAGTTAGATATTTTTAACTTGCTGTTCTGGGGTCTGGACTCACTTGCTTACAGGGACACGAGGGAGAGAGCACATTACCCCTGGGTTGCCTCACTTCACTGGCTCCGTCACTTTCAAGGTTGATTTTAAAATTCTGAAGCTCTTTGTGAGTGTTTCATGCCTTTTTTTCTTTTCATTTGTGCATGTGAACCACTTTGGTTAGCTGGTACTGTAAATGTCAATCTTTAAATGTTTGTGTTTTCAACCAATCTGTATTTATAGCGCCAATCAATGCAAATTGGTATCTGACAAATATTTTGGTCAAAATGACAAAGCTCCCAGACTCATATTGGACAATTAAAAGTGGGTATCTTGCCTAAGAACACAGTCATTGTGTTTACATGGAGTTGACTTTCTGCATAGTCCGTTTTAAATCGACTTTCCACAGCTCATGTACATCTGTGGATTTCCAGTCCTCTCTCCACAATCGGCTTGTGCCTATTCCGAGTGCCTGTACTTGCATGTATATGCGTCAATCGCATTGGAATGAGAGGCCAGTGATGCATTTGATCATGCAAGGAGAATCCAAATGTATTTGGACGAGTATAGACGTCTCACTTCTGTTGTTCGGGTTCAATACATCGTCCTTCGCTGCACGTGCTTTTTTGTTTTGTTTTGTAATGAAAAGCAAAAACGAAAGTTCATGGTGCATTTGATAACGGCACGGAAATTCACTAACTAATGCTGCAGCCGCTGAGCATATGTGAAAATCAAATGTCCAACTTAAACATAATGTTGTGTGATTACATTTGCAGAGCGTTTGTTATACTGTAATATGTGTATGGCGGCCATTTTCTTTATCATTTTAAAGAATCATTAGAGAAATTAGAGAAGTCCAATAAATTATTGTCTTTGAATTTACTTTTCTGCATATTTTGAAGAATTAAATATACCTGACATCAATGTTAACATTTTACATTTAGGCCTATCTCATTCATTCAGTGGTGATAGTCCTTCATGCCAAGATGGGTCCCCTGGCGCTGATCTACACCCAAGCTTTGACAGCAGCTCTGAAGGATGGGTCAAGAGTCAAACGCAGACAACACATTTTCCAAATGGAACAATACAGTATGGCTTCACCTTCACCTTGTGAGCAGTCCACTATTAATCTAAGATATGTTATTATAATATACTTCCAGTGACACAACTGTAGATAATGGGAGCTATTGGAAATTGTTCTCTGTCCTCCATTATCCCAGCATGCATCTGTGCGCATGTCCATATGTGCTTGACTTTCCTCTTTTGTTTTTCTTGGGGACAGAGTATCCACTTTACCAATCCTCACTTTTCTATGTCAGTAAGCATGACCATACAACAATTGTGTTAAGCATGCTTCCATTAGACACATGTCATCCTTTTTTAAAGTTAAAATGATTATATTTACTGAGTCATTGAGCTGAGTCATGGTCTGATGATCAGTAGTTCAGATTTAAGAGTTGCACAGTTTAAGGCTGCTATTATGTTTAGCAGATCTGAAAAAGGCCCAGTGTGTGTGCTGCTGCAGATGCGGTGATGTGCACATGCCCATGATGAGATGACACATTCAGGGTCCGTGCTGTTACATGCAGCGATGCACATAGACTACAATGTGACACTGATACATTACAAGAGGAACAAACACAGGCACGAGTCACGACAGCTATTTTCTAACCTTGTTCGTCCATTTACACAATTTGAGCCTAGAGACGACACTGCTGGCTGCACGCCTCAGAGTTCTGCAGTAAAGCAGGTGGGGCAGGACTGAGCCCCAATTGGTCCCAATGAAAGACTAGATGTCTATTGGCTAGCGTTTCTGTCTCTGAGTAGACGCTCAGGCTCGTGATTGGTTGTGTTGTGAGCGAAGGGCGGGTTGGATCAGGGCTCTGTACGTCCTATTTGCGCTCAGGGCGGAGTGGTGCGGCATGAGTAGCGGAGTACTGCGGCAGCCGGCAACGCGGAGGGAGATAGGTCCTCAAAAGGCAGGTCTGTGATGCGGCTCTCCTTTCGCTCTTTCCACGAGAGTCACAGTCCTGCGTGATGCTCCGCTTGAGACCGCTACTTTTCATCTGACGTCTCACGGTGCAGGAGAGTGTTGCCTTCAGTGTAAAGGTCTGGAAACCCTGATTGTTGTCTTTGAAACTCAGAAACGGTCATATTAAGATTCTGACTTTTATTTCCAAAGGCACATATTGTATTTGATCGTGAGAGGCTGACACCTCTCAAGCCGTGCATCACCTGAGAGGAGAGGAGTGACTGCGCCAACATGGGGGTAAGCTCCGCTCCAACTTTTCTACTACGACCTAGACTGAAGTGGCCATCAAACTGACGCAGCCTGTATTGTCTTTGCTCTGTCACATCAGGATATTTATCTGGAGGAATTGTCATACAGGATGAATGCCATTATTGTGTTTTACATCAGTCTTTCAGAATGCGTCAAATTCTAGCTCGCAGAGCAAAGCCTCCTGCAAATATTTACAATTATATCCCATTTTTTGACACGATCTGCCGCTTTGAAAAACGCAAAATTGTTGCGGACCTCAGGACGGGGAGGTCCTGTGCGTATGTCCGGATGTACATTAGTAGGCCTTTGACTGTAACCTTGCCGGTCGTACCTAATCTGTTTAATCCTACACTGAGCTACGGGAAAAACGCTGCTCACGCGTAGCTACTGTCAATCAGACTTATTTTTTCATTAGAATATGCCTTATATTTTACATTTTAAAGGCATTTAAACACGTGCCACGGTCCGTGTATTTGGCCCATGTAGATGGATGCACGCAATGCGCTGTGACCTCCATGGAGCCCAGCCCCTCTGTGTCTGTCCTCCGATACCGTAAGCGCACTGCTGTAAGCCGTGCTGTCGTAAACGGGGTGTCGAACTTTGGGAAGCAGGACCATTTTCGCCCTTGTGACTGATGCTGGAAACGTCTCATCGGTGCTCCGTGCGTCATAATGCGGTTAACCGAATTAGGGACTCGCTGTGAGCCTATTCTTGAATTTGTGACATATGAGGTTTCAAGCAATGATACTGGAAACCATGATGAGGGGAACAGGGACTCGTTTACGACGAAGGTTGTTGTATAGGCTTTGCGCGTAAGCTCCACAAGAGCTAATGCGCTCATCACATCTGTGAGCAGATGACGCGGTGTGGGGTTTATGTAGACCACAGCGTTCTTAGTCCGGCACGGACTACATATTTGATTTTACATGCAAGCTGCCGCGGTGGTGACATTGGGCAGACATATATGTGAGCGGTGTAGCGCGGACAGTCGACGGTCACAGCATCAGACGAATGGGACAATGGCGACGCTCAGAGCGGAGAGATGTCTGTCAAACTAGAGACTGATGAGAAAGACAGCCTGCTATTTCAGCGGTTACTGCGTCAAAGCAGGTGGAAAGTGCTTACGCATGAGGTTGCCGCATGAAAGTTTGTGAAAGCAAAGAGATGAGATGGCTGCATCACATTTAAGAAATCTGTGTTATAATCCAAGGCCTGCATGACTATGATGCTCCGACATTCCGAATATCATATATACGGTCATTGTTCATCCTTGGCCTATGCAGGATGCACCAGAGCTGTCCTCTACTGGATCCGCAGGGGACATGCCTTGCGACGGCGTTCTGCGTCAAACTGGGGGCGGGGCCTCTGAGGTGGAAATTCCCAATAAAGAGCTGTGATAGGTTGACACCCAGAACCACGTATACAGAAAAGGGTTAAGTGAGGCTGTTGGGAGACTGGCAGATATACTACAGATATGAAAAGAGCAACCTTTTCAGAATGTATGTTTGATCATGAGAGTTGTGCCAAGAGGATGTGAGGCCATCAGCAGGAGTCAGAGTGTCGTCTTTGGAAATGTGAGCCAAGAGCAGCATACTCAACGTGACCATGTGGTTACTGGTCACCTTCACATGTGGCACACACTGAAGGTGTAGGCTGTGCACATGTTCAGAGAACTGCAGGTGCTGTGCTGCAGTCAGGAGGGAGGGCTGTATCCTGTTACCGGATAATGACCAGAGGCTCACATTATCATGGCTCCTCTTTCCTATGGCTTTTGTGGGATTGGTTATCAGGGGCACAAGGCAGATGGGGCAGGCAGAGGGTGGACGATCTCCAGAGGACATTGACTAAAGGCTCATGTGGTGGGTGTGGTGTAGGTGTGAAAGGATTAGTGACATGAAGGTGCAGTAAATCTATTAGAAGGTTATAGCTTTGCTGCATGTGGTTACAGTGCTTTTAGAGCTCTAAACAGGAGAGAGGGAAGATGAACAGGCACTAGTGATTGGAGAAGAGTCTCATTACATAACTGCTTACACCTACTGCACATGATGTCCTCTGTATGCAGTGTAGTCTGCATAGCAGTGCAGTGTAGGTACAGAGGTGTGCTGCCTCTGCAGAGGCTGTGCCTGAGAGCTGCAGACAGCAGCATCCCTCTCCCTGCACCTGGAGTTACTAATGAATGCACTGCAACACAAACTCATTCTGTAGCTTTAGCCCAATGTCCAAGTGGTTAAAGAAGTTGTCATCATAACCCTTCAAAGGCTCTATTTCCCCTTAGTCTCTGTGTAGTTTGTAATGTAACATCAAGTTGAGATATTATAATCAAAGGTATGATTCGTTGTTGTAAAGAGACGACAACATGTACTGTAGTAGTTAAAAGAACAGTTTCCCAGCATTAAAAGCCAATGGTCTTTGTAGTACGAGTGATTCAGAGAATGGACCCATGATTTGTGGCGTTGTCCTGGAGGTGTTGGTCTGATTATTGCGATGAGAGTAATCTGGCAGCGTGGATTGCTCTGGGCTCACTGTTTGAGGCCATTGGTACAATAAGATTTACAGTTCTAATTTAAACAGGGCCTAAATCAGACACAAGTGGCAGCTTAAAGTCCACAGCAGTGGTGCCAACGTCTGGAGGACAGTGGGGGGATGGATATAGCTGCTCTGAAAGGGCAGATTAAAACACCTCATTGACAGATGGATAAGAAAGCAGGTAATTAGGTGGTTGTGAAGGGACACATTTGAATTATTATGTCATAATTTTTTATTAGTTTAATATGATTTCCTGCTGTTGATGTTAAAACTGTATATGGGATAGTGCCAAATCACCGACACTGAGGTCTCTGAATTGTATTCAGATTGAATAATTCATCTATGTATTGCTCTGCATTTGTTCTGCATCACCTACCCACCCACATCTGCCACAGTAAAATGGTTTTATGAATGTTCTGGAATTAACTGGTTCTTATATTTTATCAAGCTATTTGTAGATCTATATTGCAGTTCACCATAAAAATATAAAACTATGACCTTATGTCATTGTTCAATAATACACATACTGTATATCTTTAAAATGGCAGTTGATTTAAAACCTTAATTTCATTGTTGTTAATACAGAACGAAGGCCAGAGGAAGTAGACCATGGAACAGTCCACATTGAACCAACAGAAAGAATGAAGCATTGTGCTAATCCAGACATAGGCTAATCCGTGTTCCGTTTGCCCCTGAGCACTGAAGCCCCCCACAGTGACCCACTGTCCAGCTACAAGCACACAGCAGATGGACACTCAGTGAGCACCACTAGGCTAATTAAATTTACACTCAATGTCTGCATATCAATACAAGAAGAAAAATAAAGACACATTTAAATTGACCGAAATCATTTATGGTCTGGACCTTTCCTGCAACATATGACCACATACTGACCATTTGTAGACTTGAAGATGAATTTAAGGATAAGAAATAGCCAAACAAATTCCCCTTGTTCCAGATGTTGCTGTGGCCGTTTTTCCCCCCAATGACCTTAATACTGTATCAGATAAGTTCCAAACAGACTAGAATCGACAGCTGATTTCATGCCACGCAATGAATACGCTGGGTGTTGAATTATTGATGCACAAGAATTTTACAAATTAATATATGAAATAGCAAGAACAGAGTTTCTAGTTGACCGAGATGTATGCAATGAAAGTGCTTTTTAATGCATTGGGAAACTAGTGGAGCGGAGAAGGTGAATGTTATTTGGGATGGTACGTTTATTTATTTTGGATTGGATTTTGGATTGTTGCCCTGTTCTGAGTGTCTGTATTTTACATTTACAGTGAAATGTAGACCGACCTATCTACCTATTGACATGATAATGTATCTGGCCCAGAATGTCTTTAGTCAACAAAGCGTATTAGTTCTATGTATTTTTTGTTATAGTATTGACCCCTTGCATGTGACGTCCCGGCCACGCCCACTCTCCATGACAGACGGCAGAAGTCTAACTGGAGCCTACGGACACCTGACCAAAACAACCTGTTTCAGCGCATTACAGCCAAAACTGTGACATTTTGCAGTGCGGTTGATTATACTAACAGGCAAGGACATAAGCTTTTTTATCTGATACCTGCTCGTCATGAAGACAGAAGACGACGATGGCCAGCGGCAATCAACCAAAAGGACTGGGACCCATCCAAGTACTCCCTAATATGCAGTGAACACTTTATACAAGATAAAGCAATCACAAGTTTGCATTTATTTTATTTCCATTAATTTGGAGGACAATGACACACGTCAAACGTGTCTCTTACTACTGTCCTGTATGTGCGCTGCAACATTGACATTTTTATCTTTTAAGTCAATTGCGTGTTTCACTATTTTCCTCACTGTCAGTACGTATCATGTTTGGCTGTAGACAGAAAAGCCACAGAAAAGTGGACTATTGCTAATGCTACCAGCAAAATGTACATATAAATCTGCTCCAGTGTGAGGGGATGCATTGTTAACGATAATGATGAAGATCATGTAGGGTGAATTTGGGCAAAAATAGACATTTTATTTAATCGATAAAATTGACTGGGGGGAGAAGGTACGGTCAACATCCAGTTAGGCGATCCTTAACTTCTCCAAATACCACTGTTTGTGAGCCCTGACCTGATGTCCTACTTCCACCTATAACGTAATCGAACATGTGCTTAAAGCAGCCACTTCTCGATTTAAGAGAGGAAGCTCCGTTTTTAAGAGTTGTAGTCCGTTTTGCTCTCGCAGCAATGCTAGTTTACAATGCTTCCGCCGTAAGCTCATTCACAATCACGTGACTGGATGACGTTGATGCATCTGGTCAATAGTTCTTGCATGGTAGTACAGTTATCACATACTGGCTGTTGTGAGCCATGATTTCCCCCTGCAAACCAAACCACTTCCTCTTCTGCGCTGATGTCACATCCTCTTTTATGGGTTTTGAACGGCATGGAAATATTGTGGTTGACTTGTCTGGGCAAATTTGAGTG